TCCTGTACCTGTGTGTGTCTGTGTGTGTGTGTGTGTGTGTGTGTGTGTGTGTGTGAGAGAGAGAGAGAGAGAGAGAGAGGGAGAGAGATAGAGAGAGAGAGCGTTTGCATGTGCATGCGTGTGAAAGTGTGAGTAAATTTCAGAGCAGGCTATTTGCTGGCAAATAGGAATTTTGAGGTAGGCAAATGAAGGATTTTATCCTAAAGGAAAGCTCTTGGTGTTGGGTGCTGTTGGTGGTTGTGGTGTACGTCTGCGTTTCTACGTGTGTGTTATACAAACACACAAACACCCAGCAACACACACGCACAGAATCCCACAAAAGCACCCCCCCCCCCTCCCCCACACACTTACTAACTTATTCACTCCTATACCTCCGAACCACACAGAACCCCAAGTGACTGTTGCTGGCTTCGGACTGGACAAGAACAGACCTCTCACCCAGACAGCCGCCCACTTTGTATGGGAGGCCATAGACCCAAAAGATAGAAAAATCAACGGAAAGTTCCGAGGCTACAAGGTGAATAAATAATGTGGCTTCTGTGTTGGATCAAGTTCTTGGGCGTATCCAACCTTTATACTTTCAATGTTGTGGGTTTTTTTATTTGGTTTTTATTCATTTCATTGCATTTTTTGTTGTCATAGTGATGGCAAATGTGTTTACTTTCGTTGTCATTGTTTGTTCATTTGTTTGTTTTTTTGTTTGTTTGTTTGTTTGTTTGTTTTAATGGTTGTGAAGTGCGATGTAGTGGGCGACTTATTATTGTTGTAGTAATTGTTATTACGAGGGGATGGGATTGTTACTGCGGTTATTTATTGTGATGCTTTTTGTTTTCATTGCCCTGCTAACCTGTTCCTTTTGTTTTCTTGCAGTAAAGCCAAATCTGAATCTGTAGATACTCTTGTTTCTGTTCTTTTGTTTGTGATGTGTAACGTAAGTGTTGATTTTGGCGTTGTCCCCGTTTTATTTTCACTTTTGTTGATGTGGTTGTGTTGTGGTTGTTGTTTTTATTGTTGTTGTTGTTGTTGTGGTGGTGGTGGTTATTTCTGGTGGTGTCTCTAGCATTGTCGTGCCATTTGTGTACATCATGTCTGATAAATTCATTTTCATCATCATCATCATCATCATCATCATCATCATCATCATCATCATCATCATCTTCCTCGTCGTCGTGGTCACCAACACCACCATCACAGACACCACCGCCACCACCACCAGTAACAGCAACAACATTACAGTAATCATTATTATCGACAGCGAAAAGCGAGCTTCACTCATGTGGAATTGTGTAACAATTGTGTAACGTGTAATCCTATCAACTAAGTGCGAGCGTACCCATAATTAACTCCTTTCTCACCAGACAATGCACGTTCAAAGGCGCCTTGTTCCGCTGGTGTCATATTCGTGTGATTAGCGACACGTTGCAAATCGTATTACGTCGGGATATTAGAAAAACTGCTTATTGCGCCAGAATATTTCAGATGGGACCAAGTTTTTGGCGTCTGTATACATATTATATAGTCGCTTCGGGGGTTGTTTGAAAGCAAAATTGTAGTAAAATTGGAAATGAAAGTTTTAATCAGTAGTCGAGAAACGTTTGTTGTGACCTTTCGAAATGAATGATTTTAATTTTCACATTGAAGGGGGGTTTTTTTTAGAATGTTTTTTATGTTCTTGTAAAAAGAGCCAACACAGAAAACCAGCGTCTGTGATCTAATGTTTAGGGTAAAATGTTTACAATAGCTGCATAGAAAGACGCAGACAGACTGTAATTCAGAAAAAAGGAGATGTTTTTAAAACCTGTAAAGAGGAACTAATCAAGCAAAACTAGCCTTGAGCCGAAATCTGAAAGCATACATGTACTATTACCTAGTTAGCTGCCAGCACAATAATAACATTTGCTAACTACATCAAAACCCATGTGTGCGTTTTTGTGTGTTTGTGTGTGTATTTGTGTGTGTGTGTATGAATAGAGAGAGGGGGGAGGGAGAGAGAAAGAAAGAGAGAGAGAGAGAGAGAGAGAGAGAGAGAGAGAGAGAGAGTCTGATTAAGTTTGTGAATTTGCATGTGGGTTTCTGTAAGTGGATTTGTTTTCGTGGTAAGTGTGTATTCCTGATGGTTGTATGTGTCTGGGTTTTTCTTTTTTGTGTGAGTGACTGCACATTTGATTGTGTATGTGCGTTTCGGATTGCATGTGTATGTCTGTGGCACACGTTGTATAAAACATATGCATGCATATGCGTGCAAGATTTTCAAATTATTGGAAAAACGTCGTCGTTCAAAGTACATGTATTTTACATCCAGTGTCCCTTTGTGTTTCATTCATTATCACTGGTGCGTGCACCTGTCTTTCTTTCTTTCTTTCTTTCTTTCTTTCTTTCTTTCTTTTTTGGTCCAGTACACGTCTTTCCTCCCCCCACCACCTCACTCACACCCACTCACCTCCCAAGGGACTAAGTCTACAATCTAGTTACTTCTAGTTAGTGATGCTGGGTTCTGTGGATAAAGCTCAAAACAGCAAGGATCAATTTCAGTATTGATTGAAGGGGGAGAAAGCCAGGACAGCGAGGAGACAGGCTTCGATCTTCGTACAGCGATAAGTAGATCACAGTCTGGGACAATAGGGAGAGCTACACACGCCTACAAAACTTTTCTTCTCTTCTCTTTTCTTCTCTCTTTGTTTTTTACAGGACTGCTACCTCCATCTCTTTACTCTTTTGTTTCTTTGTTGTTGTTTTTTCTTTGTTGGTTTGTTTCTTTCTTTTTATCTATCTATTATTCTTTCTGCCTTACTCTTTCTGCGTTTTTGTTTTTTTATTTCAGTTTTTCTAACGCACTCGTATTATAATATTACACGCGCACATTTATACAAATGCAGGTGTACAGAGAGGGAGAGGAAGAGTGCGAGGGAGAGGGAAAGAGAGAGAGAGAGAGAGAGAGAGAGAGAGAGAGAGAGAGGTGGAGAGAGAGAGAGAGAGAGGTGGAGAGAGAGAGGGAGAGAAAGAGGGAGAGAGAGGGAGAGAGAGGGAGAGAGAGAGGGAGA